CTTATGAACAATGTCTCTGGAGAGTGGGATGATGGGAATTTTTAAGGAAGCCCTTTAATCTTGCTAAGTTTTGATATATCTCTAGGAAAAGCCGAAGGAAGAACCCTGGAGGTTTAAAGCAACACAAGAAAATGTTCTATGGTTGTGAACAAAGGTGATACAAATATGGGCAGTGTGGAAATCGTGCTAAGCTGCCTTCATTTCACAGACCTGATGCTATGATGTATCACACACTTTGCATTTATTGATTCATTGTAATTTTAATTGAGACTGAGTGAGGTTTATGAGCTCTTGAACTTTTTCTTTAAAAAGAATTCGTATTGGAAACAGCATTATAGCAATATACCTTCTGTGTACATTCAATACCCCATCAAAACTTCAAGAAAAACTTCCTGAAATTTCAGACAATTCTCCTATTAAGTAAATCCTCTGCTTATTCTAATTTAGTTCATATAAACTTTATAATTATGTAAACTATTTAATTTATTAACTTTTTATTTTACACTGGAGCATGACCTAGCTTAAAATTCTGAGTATGAAGGAAGGGAGATAAGAAATGCTGTGACAGGAAGAAAACATGCCAGGCCTACACTGCTATAGGTGGCCATTACTGTGCTTTTCTTTCCATTTATTTTCCAGTCATAGCTGTCAGCCTGGAACTGGATAGACCCAAAGAAAGGCAAAGCAAGAAAACTGGAGACTGTACAGCTTAAAGCTTTAGAAGTATTAAGACTCTGAATACGAACATACAATCACCTTTTAGTTTTGAGCTGGCAGGCCTCTCATTTGTTACAAGTAGCTGTGACTTGCACAGGTCATACTTACTTTGTATTCTTCCGCTTGGTCAAAGGAAGCTTTTCTGTAGCAGTGAACGCTTGAAGTTGTGTCATTCCTCATGGCGTTCTCCCATCTGCATGATTTACTGTGTTTTAGAGGTTTTCTGAACAAGAAACCACTAATCTCTGTTTACTTGTTGTTTTAAGACCCACATTCAAAACTGTATGAAAAATTAAGACTACTTAATGGCATCACCTGATTTTTAAGCGAAGGAAACGTCTGGTTAAGTGGATTATTGATGACATTGCCTCTACTGTTGGTATACACTGACCAACTCTTGGATCTATTATTCCTTCATGAAGGGGTGTGATGTCAGGTTTGTAGATACTTCTCCTGAAAGGATATGTGTGTGTGGATATCCATAAGGATGGGAAGATGCTCCCTTATTTTCTCACTGCTAATGAGAAGACTTATAAGAAAGCTGCGAATTTGACTTCACAAATTTTTCTCTCTCTCTTTCTTTCTCTCTTCTCTCTGTTTTTTCTCTCTTTCTCTCTTTCTTTCCCAGCTTAGCTCCACTTTTTCCCAAAACTGGAATGTCTGTTACTATTTGCTAATTCTTTAAACTGTTTAAAAAACTTGTGAGATACTTTCTTATGAATATATTTAAGCAGAATCAATGGCTTTGAATTTATTGTTGTCCAATAGCTTGTGATCTCTGTTATGATCTGATGGAACAGCCCAGTTTTGTTTTGGTTTTTTTTACAATAGTTGTTACAGAGAAGGATGAACAAATACATTACTGTGTTAACCTGCTACTGTTTATTATGGTAACTAAAAATGAAACATAGCAATAGTTGTATCACGGGCAAATATGATATAAAATCAGAAGAAATCAGTCAAGTGATTGGAGTACCAATTGCATACAGCAGCTTATTAAATGGATATATGGGATCCAACTAGAACAAGTGCCTTTCGGGCACAACATCCCCCTCCAGTTTTGCTGTATGGTGTGAACACATGCAGCTGCTCTCAGGGCAGGGGCAGCTCCTGCTCTGAGAGGAGCAGAGTCTATCTACCTCTATCAGTACTTCATACACCTTGCTAAAATGTTGCTCTGTGATTCTGTGTGAAGTAACATGCGGCAGTTTTAATGCAGTGGCAGTAACAGGTAGCTAAGGTGTTACAATATTAACAAGTTTGCTTCTTTTCTTTAACTAAGCCTTAAATACCTTAGAGATTTCTTGTGCACCCCTGTGCTGTATTCTTCAGTGGGGATTTTGCTAGGTCTTCCAAAACTTGTAGATAAGGACAACTGGTAACTCAATCTGAGCATGAAAAAAGGCCTGTAAGAGAATGCTACAAGGTCCTTTACAAGGTGATGGATATTTTTATTTTCTGTTTTCCAACAGATAACAACTTAATATTCTCGTTTTGTTAGTTTTATCTTGATAACACATAACCTTGATAACCGTTCTTGTACAATATTGCTTTCTAAAACATCTGTTGTTATATGTGCATACACACACACATACACACATCTTCTGCAAAGTTTTTTTTTTTTTTTGGGAACTGCACTGACTAAACAGCAGTACAGCTGTCAGTGGTTCAGGGACATATGCTGCTGAAAATTTCCTACAGGTAAATGCCAAAATCTGACATTCTGTCATTAAAAGTTAGAGATTTTTCTGCAGCAAAAATAGCCTTCTGTTACTGACCTGCATCTGCAATGACTGAACTAGCCATCTCTTTTCTACCGCCACTGGAGGAAGAATACAGGATGCTGTGTGAAAGAGGAAATAAGATCCAGGAAGCCAGTCAAATACAACAGCAAGAAACTGGAAGGGAGCATTAACAAAGAGTAATGATACCAAAGACACCTCTCAAACCTCTTCAGTATTATTTCTTCAGACCTTTCCCAGACTGGCTGGCAGTGCCAGAAAATAAAAGTATCTTTGCTGAGGGTTACAACTCAGGAGGAACCTAACATGTAGAAGGAGGTTATAAGGCAAACCTCATTCTCCTCCCTCTTCTTCCTCTGCATGATTTGGTGAAAGACAGGAGAAGCGCATAGCCAGAGATGGTGCCAATTCCGATTCAGGAAAGTGACAGAGAGAAACCATCCCACTGCATAGGCTTACTTTTGCTAGGCGTCATTTTCAGCTTCCCTTGCCTCAGCACAACTAAAAAGTGAAAAATCCATATGAACGTCAGGGGTCTCAGGGAGATATGAGCAATTCTCTACTGAGGGACAGCAGGACTGTCGGGACACCAAATATGGGGGTGGCAAGGGTAGGATCCGGAACTATGAATCCCTCCGTAGAAAATCATGAGCTATTTTTTTTTTAAATTTGTTTCAGTGTGCTTACTTGGTCTTCTCACTTTGGATCTCTTCCTGTCCCACTTTGGATCTTCTCTTCCTGTCCCAAAGCTGCACCATTCATGGATTAGTCAGCCATGCAAAAGCTGCCAGGTCTCCTGAAAGGCAATCCTTAGCTTTGCGTACCATCTGCCATTGAGGAGCGATGCACAGAGCTTCTTCCTCTGCCTCTGCCTGTCCCCAGAGTCTCATCAGTTCTGTCACCAGCTGATGACCAATATATCACTTCATCTTCCCTCTCAGGTTGATTGCTCCTGCATCCCATTCTCAATTCCCTCCCTACACAGGAACTCTCCCCGCCACACTCATGACTCAAAGCCCATCCCATCCATTTGTCCCAGTCCCCTTTCCCACCTTCCCTGGCCATGCTGTTGGTGGGATTAGCTGTGCAGCTAGGTAGCTGCAGTGTAACTAAATTGTTTTGTCCTTTTCTATGCAACTGAGAAGCTGGTAGCCAGCTCTGCATCCAAAACTAACCTGCCAGCCTTAGTACGTTTGCGGACAAAGCTGATAGGAATTAGCTGCATTTGAGAGAGTGGGATTTGAGGCATTTTCAAATTAGCTTCAGGGAGACTGACACACCCAAATGGTGGTGCTAATATTAACAGATAGTTTCTAAAACCTGCTACAGTTAACATGGTCACTAATTAATTTTCAATGTGACTAGGCCATAGATTTTCAAAAAAAAAAAAAAATTGAACAAATATCATTCTTAACAAAGGAGCAATTATAGACCCCCCAATGACATAAAACCAGAGCTACCCTAGGAAAACAAAAAATGGGAGAAATTGCTCAAACTATTATCCAAGTGCTTCATTGCTCCCCTCACCATAATTCTGCAATTAATTTGCACTCATAACCTGCTGAGAGGCAAGAAAGCAAGAGGCAGAACAAATGTATGACAGTGGGTTACATACCTTCAATTAAATACCACAGTCAGGTTAGTCCCCAGTCCTCATGGCTTCCAGCATGCACAAACGGGGAAAGCCCAAACACTTTCATTCTTGTGCTGCCTGGCCAGTCAGTAGATTGACTGACCAGCGCTTCTGAAGAGCGGGTAAGAGAGTTTGGTTTTCACTAACATTTCAGATCCTGCCTCACTCCAGCTGTACAATCTAGGTGCCTCTACCTGCCTCTCTAAGAAAGAGTTTCCCTCTGAACATAACGCTGACAAAGGTGGTGAAGACAATTTGCAAAGATACCAGGAACACAAGACACACTCATCAGAAGATTTTGAAGAGACACAGAGGAAGGCCTGGTTGGATCACTGCCAACTATACTTCCTCAGGGAAGAGGCTGGTCAGCTGTGATAAGAACACTGCCAGAGGGGAATAGAGTGAGGATTTAAGTTCTGTGTAATGCACCTCCAAACATCTGAAGTTATCTGCTGCTTTCCTATAGGATTCATGATTGAGGCTCTTACAGAAAAAGGCTGATTTGATTCTAAAGTAGATTATTTATTGTTTTGTATGTCTTTTTCTAATCAAAAATTAAAATCACTCATATAAAAAAGATGTTATAAAATATCCATTGTGAAAAACATAACATTTTTGTCCTTTCCCCACCTCTTCCCAACAGACCAAAATCTATCATTTATGAACAGTCTTAATGAAATAAACATATCCGATTAATGATCGACAGAAGAAAATCCTATCACGTAGATGAAGCACTGTACAACAGATCATCGCAGAGATTTGCTATAAGGGTGCCTAGGATGAATAAAATCATGTTTCATAACACCAGTAAAATCTCAGCAGCAGTCACTGCTAACCCGTCTATAAAGCACCTGTGGGGATAAGTTCAGCCCATTTTGCACAAAAATGGCCCTCTTGTTTAAACTAAATTAGCTTTCCAGGGAAAAATAATCTTCATATTTCATAGTATAATTGAACAATAAAAAATCCATTTGATACAATTTTTTGATCTTCTCAATTTGCTCTGAGCTCAATTGTCTGAGATACTCCAAGGTGATATCATCAGTAGTTCGTTTCTCTGAGCTATACCTCTTCAAGCTGGGGTAGTGCAGGCTCTCTGGTGCTCCAACGATCTTCAGAACATGCTCAGAATCTAACCCTAGAGTTTCATACTTGCCCAGGACATCGTAGTGAATGTTGCAAGGATCACAGAGCAGAAACATTGGCTTCCAGTGGATATCTAGAGTGTCTGGGTTTTTTTTTATAATAAAGTTGACAAACTCTTGGAAACTCACTTTTTCAGAAGAATTTTGATTCTTTCTGAACATGGCCCTAATCTCATTTGCAACAGTGATACTATAGAATGGCTCAGAGTGCAGAAGCTTGTCTCTGTAAGCTGAAACCAGCCGTTCCAAGGGATGTCTGGTGAACATCACTTTCGTGTAGTTGTTTAGAAATTCATTTTGTTCGGCAGGAGGGTAAGACGTCAGTTTTTTGATCAGCGAGGTTCTGTGAATGTGGTCGTGCTCAATTTCAGCAGCTTTCACGTTCAAGTCTCCTTGGAGAAGAAAAATAGTTCTCTTCCAGTTGGAGCAGCCTACCTTGGGAACCTCACAGTAGATTAGTTTATGTTTATGCTCCACAAAGAGATGGTTTGCAATATGAAAATCCAATTTGCTTCTTGATTTAAGAAGGTGTTTCTCCAGGCAGACAGAAGCCAGTGTGTTTTTGCGAACATTTTGAGTCACCAGCCAATCTTCAATGCGATCAGGAAAAGAACCTGCAACCAGCAAAGACATTTAAACAATTAGTGTGAAAGAAACTCATACAATTATTTTCTTCACTGTGACAACCATAGCATTCAATCTACCTACCAACATACCAAAACTAATGATCAAACACACCTAATGTTAAGTGTTTTTTGTAATGTTCTTCCCATACATTGCTAAGATAGCTATCACAGGTGAAGTGACAGGGCCTTAGATATTTTCCTAGCAGTGTTTTTATCACTTGGGCTATATAGTTACTTTTCAACACATCTGGGAAGGATGGCCCTGGTTCTAAAAACCTTTAAGTCTTTCTGTTGGTAAATTCTTTACTCACCGGATAGGTTTCTTTGTCTCTTATAAGATAACCCAAAAAGAAATATCCCAAACAGAAAGTTTGGGAGGAGGAAAACTAACACCTTCTGGTTCATATTATTTTCACAGGAAGGACGATGATGTAGTCTCTTAACTGGGAATCTGCCTTTCTGTCAACAAGAAAATGTAATACAGGTTAGATTTTGTATGACTGATACAACAGAAATGACATGGTATCATCTACAGAATTTAAGATAGTGGAAAGACCTTTCAAGCCCTAAAAAATATAGGCTTTGGTAAGAGCCTTTTCATTCTACTATGAAAAAGACTCACCATAATTATACTGTTAAACCAGACCAAACAAATAATATGACCGTTTTAAATGATTACAAGAATAGAAGTTCCTTCTTTCTCAGAATAAAGAGCCATGCATGAGTAAGTACTCCTCCCTCTTCCTCATTTAAAGGTGGTGCTTCTGCCAAGGAAAATCTTCTACCCCTTTGCACTGTATAATAATAACAACCTCACATAGGATTATAGAGATCTGTTTAAAAAAAAAAAAAAAAAAGCACACACCTTACAGGTAATACAAACAAGTTTTCCTTAATTTGGAGAAGCCCTATTTATAAGCTTACGATGGATTTAGGATGTGATTCTTCTCATCTCTCTCACCGAAGCTTTCCACTTGGTAAAACTAAATCAATATTCTCTGCAGCAGAAACTGTTTCATGTTCCAGCTGAGAATCCAAACTACTAAGCAACAGATTCACTCTCCTACTTTCTCTATCCCAAAGACTGCACAGCACACATCTGCTGCTGCTGCAGCACACAGGACTGCAGGAAATGTTCAAAAAAAGGTGCACTATGGAAGAAAGCATACAGAAGAAACAGAGACATCCCATGTTCATAGATAAAAGATGAGAGCAGGCTAATGCAGTGCGCTACTCTGAATGTACTCCTTCCCCTGCATTCCCTTGTTCTGTCCCCTAGTGCTGCCTGGAGGTAGAGCTCTTAATTCTTCTGTGCAGCCTTACGGTATCGCCCCCACTAGGAAGCTCTCCATCAGCCAGCTGCTCATCACATTTTTTCCTGGCATAGCAAAATTAAGTGAAAAACCTAATTGCTTCTCAACATGACATTCTATTTTTGACCCATAAAATCTGCACTGCCAAAAAAGTCAAGACACATTGTTTTGCCTTTTGTGTAAGTTTTTCACCCTGCACTTCCTTGGTAACAAAAGCATCATCACCTGGATTTCTCAAGGATGTGACTTCACCTTTGCTGTTTTTATTTTCACAAAGATATAACACAACCAGAAAGTTATTTGGGGTCCTCCCAACAGTGTGGATGTACATAAACCTAAGCTGGAATTATGGAGACAGATTTCACGTGTGTTATGAAGCAGCAGTATAGATATAACTACCTTACTTCAGTTATACCACTGCAAATGAACTTGTACAACACAGCTGCTTTCTTTCAGGCCTGAGGGGTGTTTTTTTTTATACCACATACTCTTGCCACACATCTTCATTTAAACTCATATAGTTAGGAGCATTACTAAGAATCAGTTCTCTCTTAGTGTAGGTATGACCTTAGAAAGAAAGAGGGATGACTGTTCACTATTTCTGACTTGTAAGCACAGACATGTACTAGTCCACAATTATACGTTAAGTATTTTACTTGTATTTATATTGCATTCATTTGAATGAATACTGAAATGATTTAGCGTTTACACACACTCAAATGAAGGCAGTGCTTAAACGTGCTCTCCTTTACGTAGCCAATACTTTTGCATCTGCTCGGCTGCAAGAGCAGCAAGAGGCTACAAGAAAAAAGGCTACAAGAAAAAATATGGGTTGACCTTTGACCCTTCTGTTTAACTTTTTCTTCACTGCATGTCAAGTTCTCCCTTCACTATTGCCTTCTTATGCATCAAAGGCTTTTTTCAAAGCTAGCTGAAGTCAGTCTGAAACTGTTCATTGATCTCACCGGGTCTGAGATCAAGTGACACCTTCTTATTCTTTTCCAGAAGTATTCAAAAGCACAGTTTCACACTTTGTGGCAATTAAAATGCGTATGACATTAAATGATCCTGTACAGGGATTTCTTGTTAGCGTATACTTCAGAGAAAGAGGTTAGGCATCAGTCACCCTGAAATCGTCACCTCAGAGTGGTTATCGCTATTATAGATGTCTCCGTCAGGAACAAGAAAACGAGCTAGATTCATTTATCCTATTCAGATATTTGTATCATGCATATTTGTTAATGAAATGATTTTTATAGAATAGAATGATTTAGAATAGAATAGAATAGAATGATTATAGAATGATTTTTATAGGGTCCACTGTAAGACATTTCATGCTGAAACATGTCACTGAGACACCAGAGGGAAACAGGAAAGTTTTGCCTCCTAGAGGCAAAGAAGCTGTTTACAAACTAGTCAAATATAGGAGACAACTCCTCTCCTCTCCTCAAAAAGAGGCATTTGTATATTTGTGGAAGCAAAAAAATCCTTATTTTAATTCAGGAGAATGGCCAGGCTGCCTCCTGGGTAGGGAGGGAATAGAACAAACTCCAAAGTGAAAGATTAAATCTGTCTGAATCCCTTAGGACACTTTAGAGTGCAGACTTGCTGCAAGAGCTGACATCCTCAACCAAGAAGGAAACTGGGTCAGACTGATGATTTGGAGAAGCTACCTGGTGGTGAAGTTCTGAGGATGCTTCTGAGGGTGTTTTCTGATGGGAATTCCTGGCAATAAGTTCTGTATAATGGAAGGACCCAATGACAAGAATCACCTAAAGGCAACCTGAGGCATAGGCAAGAAAGGAAATTCTGAGATCCATCTTTTTGGAAGAGGAACAAATAACCTGGAAATGAAAAAACAAAAAACAAACAAAAAAAATTTAGTTACATATCTACTGTCTTAGTAGATCAAATATACTTTTCCATCTATTTCTTCTGTTTTTTATAGATATTCGTTAACTGTGTTGTCTATTTTAGAAGTAATGAATAAATACTTTTATTTGCGTTTTACTTTGGCCTGCCTTGAACTAAGTGTGATTTAAGGTGACTGGATAACTACAAGGCACTCCTCACACAAGGTGTGATGAATCGATTAACGCAACAACTCCTCAACAAACACTCCAGTTTAGCTGTATCCAAAGGGTAGCAGAACGTGCCCCCACAGGCAGGACAGAAAGGTAGCACCACAGGGCTCAAAAAAAAGAGGCAAAATGTCTTCTAGCGAAAGAATGCTTCTTTGGAACCAACGTATCTCAAAAGAGGGGACAGTATACTGAAAACTGAATGTAGGGCATTAGTCTGCTTTGTTGTCGTAGTTGTGCTCATTTTTTATGAAAAACGAAGTCTAAATACAGACTTATACTGCACAGGTGGTTTACACTTATTCTTTAGATCACATCATTATAGATCACCAGACATAGCCACTGCTTAATATCTACAGCTCTGCCAATCTTAGCGGCAACTCCAGACTTTATCAGAAATTATTTTATGGGTTTTTTTTGGACATTGCTAAAAATAGTAAACAGGGCAGTAAGAGGAATGATCCTTGTAGAACCATTTCTGGCAGAACTCTTTAGGAAACTTTTCTACCAGATGGTTAGATTTTGAGGTCTGTCAGTTAACAAGTGTTTAATGCCTTTACTGTGTGTCCAGCTGATTTCATAGCTTTCCAGCTTCTCGGACAAAACACGCTGCAGTATCGAGTCAAATGCTTCACGCAAGCCTACTCTGTTAAATTCATTACCTTAATCAACCTATCATCACCATTTAAAAAAAAGCAAATTAATTTGGTGAGATCTATTTGCTATAACATAATGAAGTTTTATAAGAGAGCAACCAGAGCAATTGCTCAAGCCAACAATGGTGGCAAATAGAATGCATTACTGTAGGAAGCAGTAAAAATCATCTAATCTTGCATTCAAGATGAGAAAAAGGCCTGGAGCCCTCATAGAATCAGGAATATCTATTGAATTCTACCACCCCTCTCAACTAATCTACTATAAAGTTTTTTTTTCCTAATATATGCACTCTTTAAAACAAAAACGAAAAAGTTGTGTTATATGCTTATCATATCTTTGTTCTTCAGTCTTCTTAAGAAGATGTTCTCTCCATCTTTTTGTTTCCTTTAAGAGTTTATGAAAGTTTTCTGCTTTTAATTTATACTGATTGCTTTCAGCATCCCCCTTTTCTGTATGTTATACTGAGGATACGGGAGGGACTAGCCACCTACTTCCGAATCCCCTGTGTATTGGCTAGTTCTTTTGACCCAGTAGAGCTCTCTGCCTCAATGACAAGACTGTACTTCTGCAGGGCTCTCAGAAAACATGCCCCAGCTATTGGATATATTTTCTGTTTAATTGCTTTCTCTTGGTTAATTTATCTTATACTTGCTCTCCATTTTGTGATACTAGACCCTCTGTAATCATTATTTATATCTGTTAGTGATCTGGACTTTAACTGCTGGCATAAAATGTAGCCACATCACAACCACTCACACCCATCCAACCACCAACTTTGGTTCTGTAATGAATTCCTTTTCCTCTGACCAGAATGAGGTCTGTTATAGACTCACATGTTCATGATCCAGACCTCTTTCAAACAGCAAATATTTAGACAGTCCAAAGATATTTTAATGCTGAAATAATGTGAGCACATGATCTAGCATATCACACCCAA